CAGCAGCACAGACAACAGCAGAGACAACAGCAGAGACAGCAGCACAGACAGCAGCACAGACGAAAGCAGAGACAACAGCAGAGACAGTCAGACACAAAGCTGATAAAATGCATCGTTCATCCTAAAGAAAGATTCTCAGGCGCTGTGACTACTTTGATTAAGCTACAGCAGGTTAGGGGACTTTACCAGACATCACTGTGTGAATTATTTTACACGCACACACACAGCTAAAAAGAATCAGCACAGAAAACAGCACAGACAACAGCACAGACAAGAGCAGAGACGACAGCACAGACAACAGCACAGACAAGAGCACAGACGAAAGCAGAGACGACAGCAGAGACGACAGCACAGACGACAGCAGAGACAACAGCACAGACAAGAGCAGAAACAACAGCAGAGACAACAGCAGAGACAGCAGCACAGACAGCAGCACAGACGAAAGCAGAGACAACAGCAGAGACAACAGCAGAGACGAAAGCACAGACGACAGCACAGACGACAGCAGAGACAACAGCACAGACAAGAGCAGAAACGACAGCAGAGACGACAGCACAGACAGCAGCACAGACAGCAGCAGAGACAACAGCCCAGACAACAGCAAAGACAACAGCACAGACAACAGCAGACAACAGCACAGACGACAGTACAGACAGCAGCACAGACAACAGCAGAGACAGCAGCACAGACAACAGCAGAGACAACAGCACAGACAACAGCAGAGACAACAGCAGAGACAACAGCACAGACAACAGTACAGACAAGAGCAGAGACAACAGCACAGACAGAAGCACAGACAAGAGCAGAGACGACAGCAGAGACAACAGCACAGACAAGAGCAGAGACGACAGCAGAGACGACAGCACAGACAAGAGCAGAGACAACAGCAGAGACAGCAGCACAGACAGCAGCACAGACAGCAGCAGAGACGACAGAAGCAGAGACAACAGCAGAGACAGCAGCACAGACGAAAGCAGAGACAGCAGCAGAGACAACAGCACAGACAGCAGCACAGACAAAAGCAGAGACAACAGCAGAGACAGCAGCACAGACAGCAGCACAGACAACAGCACAGACAACAGCACAGACAGCAGCACAGACGACAGCAGAGACAGCAGCACAGACAAGAGCAGAGACAACAGCACAGACAACAGCAGAGACGACAGCAGAGACAACAGCACAGACAACAGTACAGACAAGAGCAGAGACAACAGCACAGACAGAAGCACAGACAGAAGCACAGACAAGAGCAGAGACGACAGCAGAGACAACAGCACAGACAAGAGCAGAGACGACAGCAGAGACAACAGCACAGACAAGAGCAGAGACGACAGCAGAGACGACAGCACAGACAAGAGCAGAGACAACAGCAGAGACAACAGTACAGACAGCAGCACAGACGAGAGCAGAGACAACAGCACAGACAACAGCAGAGACAACAGCACAGACAGCAGCACAGACAAAAGCAGAGACAACAGCAGAGACAGCAGCACAGACAGCAGCACAGACGAAAGCAGAGACAACAGCAGAGACAACAGTACAGACAGCAGCACAGACAACAGCAGAGACAGCAGCAGAGACAACAGCACAGACAGCAGCACAGACAGCAGCACAGACGAAAGCAGAGACAGCAGCAGAGACAGTCAGACACAAAGCTGATAAAATGCATCGTTCGTCCTAAAGAAAGATTCTCAGGCGCTGTGACTACTTTGATTAAGCTACAGCAGGTTAGGGGACTTTACCAGACATCACTGTGTGAATAATTTTACACGCACACACACAGCTAAAAAGAATCAAAGGAACTTTTTAAATCAGACTTCCTGATCTGATCAGGTGGGTAACAGTGTGGGCTGCTAGTTTCACCTGCTGGAGTTTGGCTGAAGTTAGTGCAGCAGTGTGGTCTGATACCGGGGCCATACAAAGGTTGCACAGGTGTTTCACAAACGCACAACTCCCAGTGCCAGACAGTTTGCTGTATCTTGTATCACAGTCTCAGACTTGTAGGAGAGTCCAGGAGACGGCAGTTACTCTAGCAGAGCTGGACCAATATCTGCTCCTTTGTGCAAGCAGGAACAGAATGAGCACTGCCAGCGCCCTACAGCACAACCGCAACAGGCCGCTGGTGTGAAGGCTCTCACAAAACAATCAGACGAAGAAGAAATACAACAATAACTGAGGCTGTAGAAACTGCCAGAGGCTCACAGGTTTGGTCATGAAGCCTGAAGATATATCCAGATTGTACTCTTGGCTACAAGGCAATCATATCAGAGGCAGACAGACCAGAGCTCGAACACTCGAAGAACATCTGGGAGAAAAAGAAAAGAGAAAAATACAAACGCAGAGTGGCTGGTGGACATAAGACCAGAGAACAAGAGCCAGTCAGCATCACAAAGGCAGACATCCAACAACAAGTGTCTGGAACGAAGAGCCGGACGGCCCCAGGACCCGACGTGAGCCCCGTCTGCAGCCTGAAGAAGCTAACAGCACTGCTTGATCACCTGACAGGACAAACAGGGGGCTGATTGTGAAGGATCTACACAAGGGTACACATGTGCTGCTCCAAGAACACCAAGACAGATGGGATAAGGAACAGGAAGAGGAACTATCATGGATGACCGAGCCCCTGGACCACACTGGCCTTGCTCCTCACATGCATCACTGACCCTGTTCACCACTGGTTTTTAGTAGATACTGACCACTGTATACTGGGAACACTCCAGAGCTGCAGTTCTGAGATACTCTGTCCAACGTTACACTTTTTGCAGTTCAGTCACGGCCTACTACGCCCCGCCTACTAACAGGAGTGATGAAGAGATAACAGAGTTATTGATTTAGTGTAGCATGATTCAGATATTTAGCATTATTGCCTTCACCCGTCAGTGGTGTCAAATGAGCGAAATATGGTAATTTAATTTTAAACGGCATTAGTTGTGCCTGACAGCACACGGTCACTGTGGAAAGTTGTTTTCCTTGTGCGTGCTTTTGTTTCAGAAATGTGGAACATGCGTCACATTTACACAACACGGAGACGCCGACTTTAAGAAACCCCGACAACGAAACAATCAGATCACATCAACTCCATGTCGACGTGAAAATTCAACGAATCTAAACCACAACTATGCACACATTCAGAATCTATGGTTTAAGCTGTGTCATCTACTGTGCCAGTGTCTGCGGTTTAGTCTCGGCTGGGGACACACTACATGACTTTATTTAATGCTGACAGTGGAACTCCTGGTTTTAACGTCCACGTGGGTCAGGAATGGGAATCTGTTCCCATCTGTGCAACAAAGCAAACAAAAGAGTTCAGCGTGAAACTAGCATCACTATAAGCATTAATCTATTCAACACTGCTGTATGCAGGAGAAGAAGAAAGCTACAGATTGTGTACATAAGTGGCTATTTGGTCAGCAAGCAGTGGTTATGAGCTCAGGTCAGCCCTGCACACCAGAACAGGTGGACCTCACACAGAAAACTTTAAAACGTTATTTTTGTTTTACATAAAAACACTAATTTTTAGTATTTCAGAGGTTTCAAACCTAAATCCTACATTTTCTGAATAAAATGTTGAACACGGATTCAAAGGCATCTCTGACTTTAATAATAACAATGATAAAGCTGCTTTGACACATTCAGCCCAAACTATAGTGTTTCTGTGTCGTGAGTCATGCAGTGCCTCCCCAGCCTCAAGCAGCACTGTGATTGTGGTGGAAACACAACGAGGTCTCTATTGCCAACTACTTGAAAAGCTGGTCTGGCTACCAAAGCAGCAGACGTACCCCCACGTGCTCTGCACTGTCCGTCTTCCTTTTCTGCGTGAACACAGGAAACGTCGTCTTTGTCTCATTGTGAAACGTAACTCACATCAATCCACTGCATATTCATTTGTGTCCAAAGTAGTAAATGAAACCACACGATGGTGATTAAAATGCATACTTAGCAAAAAGCACTTCCTTTCACATAATGCAACAAGTCAAATTCATGAAACCAGCAACACGTTTTTAACAGGTCATGAAGACAAGCGGACTACCACAGGCAGGAACACGAGTCCCTCTGACAGGCTGGACTGTGCTTAAAGGGAAACCAGAGCTATTTAATGAGCCTCAGAGATGATGCAGCACATTTCACAGAACTGTCAAATCAAACAACAGCAATGCTGCGGAGCTCTGCAGAGCTCTGCTTCCTCTTTCTTTCTCACTATTGAGCACACCGACAACATCGTTGTGTCTGGGATTTGTAAACATGCTGTTTGCCCGGCTGTTTTGCCCTACTATAAACCGTATCCACAGTCCCCAACACCTACAGAACCTGCAAATGTAATAGAAACTCTAATTGAGATACTGGGTAAAGCAGCATAGCCTAGCATACCAGCAGCAACCAAGGAGGATGACTCTCAAACGGTCAACTGTCCATATACGTACGATGACATAAGTACTACTGACCTCCATCAATGCTGGAGTCTCAGGAGCTGGAGCCAATCCCAGCTGTCTTAGGGCAAGAGGTGCAAGGCACACCTGGACAGCTAACTGCTAACACATACTCACACATTCACACGCACGCCAAGTTAGAGTTTCCAGTTAACCCCGCTGCCTGTGGACTGTTGGAGGAAGCCGGAGTACCCGGAAAGCACCCACACAAACACGGAGAACATGCAAACTCCACCAGCCTGATGGTGGAGTTGAACTCAGAACCTTCTAGCTGTGAGGCAACAGCGCTAACCGCTGTGCCACCGTGCTGTTTCAGATGCACATGTTCCTAAAAGAGTCATAAACGTGAATTGAAGAGTTTATCTTCATGTTGAGTCAACACAGTGAAAAATGACGAACTACCTGTGACACCTGGTAGGACGGATACATGTCTGAAGACAAGCTTCATTAATGTCCATTTTGTTGACAGTATTCAAACATGAGAGCAAACCCACGGGGGTCCAGTGGGGTGTGCAGTACGACCTGCTGTCAACAATAAGGTACATCTGTAACCTGGAGTGTGACGGTACTTACTTTGACACCATCCGGTTTTTTATTCAGCAGGCTCTTGGCTGCTGTGGAAACAAAGACAACAATGGGAGGAAATCAGACGCCAGCTGAACAACTACACAGGCACATGCAGCAGGTCCATTCAAGGCGGCCAATGACTAGCAGCCTCAGAGTGGCCCTACCATCGGAAGCAGAAGAGGAAAAAGCAAAGTCAGGAGACAAAAAAAGCCCAAAGAAAGCAGTAACGGAGACGGGAGCATGCGGTTAGATTCAGCTGGTAAAACCTCAGGAGACACGGAGCACATTTAGAGGAAACTCTGCTCTTTCAGCAAGAACACCGAGCAGCAACTCTGAGCTTCCCTCACGTATTTGTGGCCGGTTAATGAACTTTACAGTCGACATGCAAGGACGCTGTGAGACATGAAGCAGGTGATTGTAGCGGCAGAGGTAAGCAGTTTGGTGCATCGTCTGTCAGGGTGAGACTAAATCACAGCACGTAGAGTGACTGATCGAAGCTTTGCAGTGACCAAAGCTGTCTTTTGGCGGCCATTGAAGAGAAACGTCTGTCTGGGCCAGTATTTAAAGGAGATGATATAATTACGAGTCTATTTAGGAGCAGCTGAGCTTTAAAAGCAGGAACTTTAATACGTTTTAATGACTTTGCATCGATACGTGTCGAACTTTATATCAACAGCAGATCCTTTCTTTGCTGCTGTGAGATACACATGGAACAGATCCATCACATAATCAATGCTTTCTGTCTGCACACAGCAAACTTTTCCCTTCTGATCAATTAAAACACATCAAACTTAACTGTTTTTATATCCCTGTGATGTTTTTCTATTGAAATTACATCATATTTACACACATTGAAAGGATTAACTCCAACATGTGATAGTTCCGCTCTGTCAGTGGGTCTAATATATTTTATATGTATATTTAACGATACAACATCTGACTGGAAGCGAGAGACGTCTGCTCCCCTCTGCAGTCAATACTGAGGCCGTTTCTCACACTTAGTCTGCAGGATGGCAAAGGCCTCGTAAACCAGCTTTGATTCCTCTACAATGACCGCTAATGCACAAACTGACCCACAGTGGAGTTTTGGTAGACACACATGCCCGGACTCAAACCTGGCAGTGTAGCTCAGCGCTGCAGAGACGTGCTAGCTACAGCGAGGACTCTTACCTTACACACGAGTTACCACACGAGGAGGAAGAAAGAAAAACAAAGGTAAACAGAGGGATCGCACTCACAGCTGAGACAGAAGTGGAATGAGCAGCTTTCCTGTCATTAGTCATAAACACAAATCAATACTGGTTCAGTTGAAATGGTTCGCCCTTTAAAGCCACCCGTGGACGGCATCGATCTGCACGCTCACTCCAGTTTTTGTTAACGGCAGCTTAAAGGGGAGCACCGAGCTTAATGGGCTCTAAAGGCCAGAACATCAGGACACAGCAGGACTCCGAGGCAGCACCTCAACATGTGAACCACACATGTGAACGGCATTATAGGGAGTCGCTACAACACGGGCCATGACTGGCTGTCAGCCTTTACTCCAGGTCGTACCTGAGAAGTTTCGAGTGGCGAGCATCGTTGTCAGGATGGCACCCTGAGGAGAGAGATGGACAGGGGAGCGTCACAGCAGGATGAGCATGCTCTGGTTTTCAGGGTTTTAGATGTGCACCGCTCACTGCCGCCGCCTACCTTGAGTTTCCTCCTGGCGTTGAATTTCTTGAGGCACTCCACAGTCTCCTGTCTGTGCATCATGGATGCTACAGTGGAGCGTTGCTGTGGAAACACACAGGCAGTGTCACAAGCTTAAACGCTACTACACAACCTGCCCGGGTTAGGGAGCGCGACACCTACGCAGATCCAGGGGTGTTTGAGTGCGTCGGTGGCCGTCACTCTCTTGGCTGGGTTAATGGTCAGCATCTTATTGATCAGGTCTTTGGCCTCGGGGGTCACCGTGTCCCACTCTGGGGAGGGAAACTGTTCAACGACATCGTGAAAACCATTTGGAGTTTAGCTAACCGTTATTGTTAAAAGGAACACATTTCTCTGCACGTGTGCGTGGCTGCACGGTGTAACTCACATCATACGCCCCAGCTTTGATCTGCTGGTACAGCCTGTGCTGGTCCTCGTCCCAGAAGGGAGGATAGCCCACGAGTAAGATGTAGAGGATCACTCCTACGAGCAGCGGAAACCAAAGTTAACCGAGAGCTCACGTCTTTACTAAAGCAAACCGAGCCTCAGGAAAAAGGCCGGCTTGTGTTCACTAACGTCACACCAGGACAACCTGTTTGCATTCAGCTGTTTCTAAATGAGCAGCAGACAAAGTCAAACAGCTGCTGTTTGTGTAAATGCAGACACACTGAGCGCTTCTGTTTGCTGGTGTTACCAGGGACGGGCTTTTTAATTGGCCGTCTGCCTGCAAAAGATGAAAAGGACCCGTATCTGCCGCTACGACCACAAACAACACCGCCCTTTGTTGCTGTGGTCTGAGTCAGGACAGGTGTGCTGCACGCATGTGTTTCCCACAGCTGCAGCCAGATGTGCTGCTTTCACTAGTGAGAGCAGTGATTAATCCAAGAGGCTGCCACAGAGCAGCACACAGGACAGAATGACACGCTGCTCGTCTCTTACCGCAGGCCCACATGTCCACTGGCTTGCCATAGGGATCTTTCCTCAGCACCTCTGGAGACAGGTATCCTGGTGTCCCAGCGAAACCTGAAACACAGACACACAAGTGAAGCTTGTACAGACGACCCACAGCTCGTTACCTAAGCAGGTAGGACCAGAGGCCTCGTAAAGCAAGGTTTAAGAGCTGCAATCAAAGCACTCTGCACCAGGCGTGTGCTTTGGCTCACACACGCTCATGGGGGACGTCCAACTGGTACTTAAGTTAGGGCATAAAATGAACTGGTTCCAGATGGAAGCTGGTGCTGGGGGAACAGACTAATTATCTCAGAGCTCCACAGAGACTAGATGGAGACAAGTAGGCCAGACCTCCACCCTGATGCAAGCCGGCAGCAGTGGAGCACCTCGTCTCTGTGGGGTATTAGGGTGTGCTGACACAGTGACATCGTTGGAGAGCAAACGCCTGACAGATGTACCGGCTCGTGTGTAGTTACACAACATATTGACAGACTGCACCTGTGCAAAACAGCTAACCTGTGTGTTATGTCATTAGTTTTATCACCAGTATTTAGACACATCCCACAATCACAGATTCACTTTGATGGGATGAGTGCACACTGACATCTTTCTTGACATTCATGTTGGGCTTTAAAACAGTCAGCTGATACATGAAGGTCGCAGCGCTGACACAGGTAAGTCACGCTAACACGGACCAAACTGAGGTCACTCACCGAACCACGCCTGCTGATCTCCTTGAACCTCGATGGCCAGGCCGAAGTCTGCCAGCTTGACTGCAGCGCCCTTCAGCTTGCTGGCTAGAAGCAGATTCTCTGGCTTGGAGTGAAGAACAGGAAACATCAGCATCCTGCAGCGGCTCAAGACAGGACTTTACAATGAGGCTCAACATGAATCAAGACTTTGGTTGCTAGCAGCTAGTAGGAGGGGCTATCACAGCATCATCAAGGACTGATGTCAGAGAGCGTCCGGGACAGACTAATGGCTGGGCTGGAGGCCTCTGCACACAAACTCAGCACTGACTCATGCTGAGCCCGATCATAGTCAGCCTCAGTCTGAGGTCGCTTCAGCCCGGCTGCACGACTCTTTCAATACGAGCGAGCCAGGCGGGGCGTGAGAGCGGCCGCGGAGGACACGTGAAGCGCTCGTCAACATATTCAAAGCAGCACACAACAACAACACAAGCTGCTGTTGATCACAACACAAGCTTGTTGTCCAACCACACCTCAGCGTCAGTGAGAGCCAATCACTCATCAGACGGAGTTTGTGGACGACGCCCACACTGAGCTGAAACATGACAGCAACACCTGCACTCTGATCACAATCACTGTGTCATGAACATGCTCATCTCCACCCGGCTGACGACATCAGTCTGCCACAGGTTCATCCTTCAACAGCTGCATTCACACATCCTAGGTTCATTTTCCCGTTCATCCTCCTCTCAGGTATCTGAGCCCCGCCCCCTGATGTCCCCGCCCCCTTTAATGTTGGCTGATGTGTCTTTGACCTCCAAACACCGGGTCAGCCTGGCCCTGGTCTTTCCACCTCTGGATGCTGACTGCAACCGTCAGTCGTTTGGAAATTCTTCTGTAACCAACCAGTAAGAAACTGGTGAAGGTGTTGAGAGCTCACTGGTTTTGGTTATATACGTGACACCTTGGCAATGAGACACCTTTTAACAGGCCGGAGTTGGGACCAGCTGATTGGAAGTAAATGGTGGGATTGCATCTACAGTTTCCTTTGCACGTGTCGACTAGATGGTTTTAGCAACATCAGGTCAACATATTTGCCATCAGTGCATCACTGATATTCTAACCTGCAGTATTTCAAGCCCACACTCGCTCCAGGTCCCATCCAGAGGTCACGGATCAGCTGTCAGTTGTTACAACGCTGCCATCTCCCACCGGAACAACAGGCCGTTACGCCAGGCTGCTGTTCGCTGACTTAGCTCTGCTTTCAAAACGCCACTAACAGGCAGACTAATAGAAACTGCTGGACTTCCTGCTGCCACCTGAGACTTCCTGTCGGACCGTGTACAGAGTCAGCGGGCCTCCTCTTTCACCGGGTGTTTAAGCTGCTGCCGTTGGGCAGGAGATTGGGGCTGCTGAGGCCCTAATCAGTGCTAACAGCTGACCTGAGTGAATGCCTCCCTGGACCTTTCTGGGGGTAACAACAACAATATTTATAACAAGGTGCAATAAACATGCACTTTTTTTAGTACTTAAGTTGTCCTGTCCTGCTGTACGTAGTGCCGACGTGGGACAGGTCTCCAGGTTCACTGTACGACTGTGCAATGACAATAAATCTCTCTGAGGGACAAATCCTGGAACCACGAGATAAGAGTCACTGTGATGCCAGAGCCATGAGCTCTCTCCATCCTCGTGCCCACTGGTATATACTAACTGTAGCACACTGCTTTTCTGTACTCACAGTCATCCTCGCCCGCGGAGGCTAACGCTCAGCCACTGAGAGCTCCTTCTCTTGGTTAGCTGAAACGTAAACCTCCGCCCTGTGGAGAAGGATGAGGGCTGCTTTCCACCTTCATCTCACTACCAGAGGAAACACACCTAGAGCACACCAGTGCCTCCTTTGATATCTGACTGCACTGGATCCTTATTGATTCTGTATGCTCAGAGCTGAGGATCTCCCACAGGAAAAAGAAGCTTCTCCTCGGTCCACAGACAACTCTGACACTCACTTCTAGTGGATATTGTGTCGCACACCCTGACTGTGCTTGATAATCTATTTATGATCTCTCAGATGGGGCCATATGGATGGAAGGCCCCCAGTGTGCTTTAAGGGCTGCTAATAATGGATCCAGTCACTGAACCCTTGAAGCGCCGCCACAGTCTCTAACTGACCTACTGCAGCTCTCAGGCCTGGATGAGACGCATGCAAAGATAGTCAAACGCAGGGCGAAGAACACAAACAGTGATGGAGCCGTGCAGGATGCAGGTTTGTGCCTTTAGCATGCACCAATGCACCAGCACGTCCTGCATTTGTGCACAGTTCACATCAGGGTTTGTGCTCCCTTCTTGTGATAGATTGGATTGTGTCTGACACAGTGAGTCAAAGAGCAGATCCAATGAGCTGATGGATCAGAGCCTGCTCAGTCTGGACTCTGTGCAGCACTTTATGTTGCAGTGCTTTAGAAATAAAGCTGCGATCTTTTACAGCTTTATCACAAATGCAACAAATTACTGAGATTTTCTGGGAGACGCAGAACAAAACTTTCAGAAAGGTGACAAATAAACGAGATTAGATCCAGAAAGCCATCAAAATCCTCTCCGCCTGTGACTCTGAACACCGCGCTTCCTCATTGGCTGCGCTGACATTGGCTGATCACCAACACTCTGTCGGAGCTGTTCGAGTGGCTTCTATTCTTGTGTCTCTGGAGAATATGTGGGAGGATAATGTGGATATTACAAAGGCTGATAATCGGAAACAACAGAGATCAAGTCTTAGAGCGGGGTGTCAACATAAGGCCAGCGCCCCAGAGCCAACCCACCAAAGAACGTCCAGCTGGTCCTCGTGGAGACGGGCAGAAATGCTTCAGCTTCTACTGGCAATGACTCCCTGTGACCAACCACACAGCACCAAAGGAAAGCAGTAATGGTTCCTGCTTTATAAATGTGCACATTTGGTTTTAACTGTGGGTTTACAGTGAAACACAAACAGGACAGACTCTGTCTGCACAAAGAACTTTTCCTGTTATTTCTCACAGTTTAAGCCTCTCACTGACCACAGCAGCGCTGCTTCATCATCACACTCCTTTTTCTTACATTCAAGCATCTCAGGATGTTAAATCTTTACACTGACAGAAAGCCTCCACAGTGTAAGATGACTGCGCTGGATTTATGTGAACAGAAAACATCGTCACAGTGCAGGCATGTGTAACCCAGGACTCTTTCCTACACATCGACCTCCACAGCATGTGTGTGTTTGCACAGACCATCATGTGCAGGAATCGAATCACACGAGTGCACACACACAAAAACGTGGCTGTTTCTACAGCTCCCGCTCGCTCGTTTGTTTCGGCTGCATTTGCTTTTCTTTGTGTTTCTGCAGTCAACTGTGGCAGCTGCCTGGCAACAGCCAATCAGAGTGCGGGGCGAGGGCAGCCGACAGATGCAAAACGTCAGCTTACTGCTGCAGGTAAGCAAACCTCAGACACGCCCGCTTCATTTGATTGACAAATTAGAGCTTCGGGAGCGAACCACAGGAGGAGAGCAGCATTAGAGAGACTGCTGCGGAGGCATTAGTGCAATTACCCACGATGAGACACCACAATGTGCTCAGCGGCTCCACGTAAAGCATTTGACCTGGTTACAGATGCAGAGCTGATGGCTCCGTGAGGGCGTCGTTCCTGGAAGGACCATTCAAATTATAGCCTCACACTGAATTTCCTCAACAGTTGAACTTAGCACAACAATCATTACCCAACAACACTTTTGACACTAAGCAGACGCTGCTCTTTAAAGAAACAGGCGCGCAGCCATTGTTGGTTCCTTGTATTTTAGAGAAATGTTCCAACTTTTGCTGGTGAAGACCAAGTGTTTTGATGAGAACTTCAGAATACTGACAGGGAAAAGGAAAGAGCATAACTGGAAAGCATCAGGACAAAAGGACAGAGAGAGACCGTTTGTATCGACTCACCTTGAGGTCGCGGTGGACCACACCCATCTGGTGGCAGTGCAGCACAGCCTCTAGGATCTGCTGAATGCAGTGACTGCATGCAAACACCAGGGGGCATGGGTTAGTGACGAGCTAACACTCATATTTGTAGCTGTGAGCTTGCTTTGAGCCTCGGGGAGCTGGCGTGTTAGTGGGCGGAGCTCAGTAATGTGGCAACTCGCCGCCCAGAAGCTAAAATTAGCAGCAACTTGAGGTAATTTGGCTGAAAACGGGCCGTTCACTCAACGGGGCTTTTTCTGTGCTGCCACAGTTAAAACACATCCTGGAACTTCATCATCATCCTCACACACAGCTCTCTGCCCGAGCCTCAGAGCAGAGGTTAGATCTGGAGGCGGGGCAGAGAGGCGGAGCTACAGAATAGTGTGGTTTATTACAGGAGCTGACACAGTGTGTCCCTTTACAGGATAATGTTACAAACTTTACTGAAGACAACATGTGAATGAAGCAGTTAAAGTTTGAAGCAACCTGTGACTGACAAACCAAATATAGTGCTGCAGGTTCACTACATGTTTGTGTAGGTTACATGGTTCCTCCTAAACATGGAACATGGATGCAGCATTACAGACATGTAGCGTCTAATGACACGCTCGGGCTGAAGCTACACGGTCCAGACGCACCAACGCTGAAGAAGAGCTGGTTGACCCGTGTGCGTTTGACATCAGGTGACCAGCTCAGGGCCCTGTTTCAGGAAGCCGGTTTAGTGCAAACTCTGAGTAAGTATACCCTGAGTTAACGAAAACTCTGGTTTTTCAGTTTCACAAAGCGAGTTTAGATTAATTCTGAGTGAGTCACTATGACGACACACTCCGTGAAGCTAACCTGCCCCCTAGCAGGTTTACTACAACTAACCCTGACTGTCTCCGCCTCTTTGTCAGAAACCTGACTGTAGGAAGTGTCAGACATGGCGTGCCCCTTCCTTGAAGAGCCAGTAGATGTTGAAGCCCAAATTCTCTGCCGGGAGAGAGTGATCAGAGCGCGTTCGGACATTTTATCATTTCCTGATGATTTCCTGTGTGAACGTTACCGTTTTTCAGCACAATCTATAATTTATTTGAATAACATCCTCAGGCCTAATATTGCTCATGTGACACATCGCGGACATGCTCTCTGTACATATTATTTGTATCGCACTTCGGTTTCTTGCAAACGGGAGCTTTCTGTATAATATTGGTGATGCTGAGCACGTTTCCAAGGCTACCGTCTGTCAGCCAGTCAGGAATGTTACAGTTGCACTGAAACGTCTCCTGTACTCGTTTGTGGTGTTCCCCGGTCACAGACCCACAAGATTTATCAAAGAGGGATGCCACAAAATTGCAGGTATCAGGATGAACGAAACTTAATTCATGATGTGGTGATACTTGGACTACTACTTAAATTTTACATTTATTCTCACGGTTCCCAGGCGTGATTGGCTGTACAGATGGCACTCACATTCCAATCATTGCTCCTTCAGTAAATGAAGGAGACTATGTGAACAGGAAGTCTTTCCACAGCATTAATGTACAGGTACATAGTTCCCTGTAGCATTTCAAACTAACAAATCATTTCATTATAGTAATGGATGCTAATTTGTGTTCTCTGCACTGTGAAGATCATATGTGATGCTGCCAACATTATCACAAATGTGGAAGCCAACTGCTAAGCCTCTGTGAGTGGTGGTGGTGGAGGACCCCCACCTGTTTTTCAGGCCTCCGCTTTTTTTCTGTTGGCTATAACGGGCCACATTTGAGCATACAGAGTAAGCAAATATGTACTTGTAATGTGCTCAGATAATTTCAATAAGTGCTTACAGAGGGGAAATTAATGTAGCCTCTAACTGCAATTGATTTACATCGGACAAACAGACCAAGCACTATGGCTCATAATACAATTACACCACCTGTTTGGACTATATTTTTATATTTCATCTTTACTTGCTGCCAGGAACGTTTGGGGCCTGTTGGGTTGCACCTGTGCTCACATCACGTCACAACATAAAATGTATAAAATAAAAAATAAAATATAATGAAATAACGTGTTAAATGGGTGGAAATCCCTCGATCAATGTTTAAATTAACACTCACGCATTGACTCTGTCGGCTATGTTTTGCCATGCATGCTCTCTTTCTTTTGCAACTGAGGCTGTGTTACTTTTTTTCCGCAGAATTTGCATGTTATCGGCATATGCTGCCATCAGAATTTCGGCCTCAAGCGCTGTGAAATACATTGACCGCGCCTTCTTTCCCTCCGTCTCCATGGTGACTCGCTTAATCTGTGCTCCACTAATCAGGGCTTTCTGTATCCTCGTCCACGTGCTTAACTTGGGGTTAAAGCAACTCCGCGTTGACTGAACTAATTGTTATCAGCCTTTCTGAAACCGAATATTCCGAGTTGGACAGTTCGGGGTTACTCAACCCTGAGTATCGTTTTTCACTCTGAGTTTTCTAAACCGGCTTCCTGAAATAGGGCCCGGGTCCGTGTGTGCCTGCACAGTGGATCGATCCTTCAGAAACACACTGCAGCCCTTAGTTGCTCCCAACACAATGAAGGAGTGTGCAAACGCTAGGAGGTGCTTAGAGACAGACAGTTGTGGAAATGTAACACAAGCGTGCCACATCTGGATGCAGGCTTGCATAACTAAGAGTATTCTGACTGTGTCGTGCTGAAAGTGTTACTCGTGCAGCACATCCTGTTTGTGAGGATGCTTCAGGTCTGCTCCTGCTTTCATCTCTTAAACACATTTTTATAGATTCAAAAGTGTTAAAAAGCAAATTCGTTGCTTCAAACTTTCTCTGCTGTATTTATGTGTAAACACACTGAATGAATTTGAATTGAACCTAATGATGCTCCACCTTTAGAATCATAACAATGATCATAATGAAACCACACCATCTTTCTCCTCTCTCTGACGAAGCCTGACAGCGGCTGTGTCAGCGCACCACTTAGCAAAGATGCTACATGCACTTGGTGGCGTACAGTAGAGGCAGGCTGTGATGGCGTCTGCCTGCCCCCGCCTGCACGACACATCCCGCCGCCTCGTCTCCAGCCAGCCTGCCCACAACGCCCCGCTGTGGCGATGTGCGAGGGTGACTGGTGGAGGGGGCGTGGCACTGATCAGGCAGTGGATGCAGCACGGCCGAGTCTCTTAACGGTTGGCCCTTACTAACCTTCAGGTCTCTGTGCACTAAGCCATTTGTGTGACAATGATTTACACTTTCTACACTCTGCTGTATGCAGTGACTGTGGAGGCAGACCAGGCCAGAAGCAGAGAGGAGAGGGAGGACGGGTCAGTGTCAGACACCTGGAGCAGCACTGCAGTGACAGGTGAACATCGAAAAGGAACAGTTCAGTGTTCGATGGCGTGAAGACTTTCTGCAGTGCGAGCTGCTGCAGAGGCAGGTCTGTCTTTGCTATAGACGGAAGCAGGAAACAGCTAAAGTGTCAGGAATACAGCTGCTTGGTAACAAACTTTGCTCACTGTCAGGACCTAAAAAGGTAAACTTTAAATATTCTGGATCCTACGGCCGCACTATAAACACAGGAACAGATAACAGAGGAGGAGAAGCACACAGGTGAGACGCACGAGAGACACGAGGACGCTAAACTAACCTACAGGAAGTTTAACGGCGAGACGAGGGATGCATTCAAAGACACGACTAGAAACACGAGCAAAGACTACACAGGCGCAGCGGTGACCATGAGCGATGAATACACTGCAGTATGGACATGATGGCTGCACAAGCTCGGTGACGGTAAACAGCTCAGCTGTTTCCATCCACTCGTCCTGGGCATCTTTACGGGGCTTTGCATTTCTAATGTGAGTGCACGTTTTCTTCTCCTGCAGGACTTTGAAAGCAACGGTGCACGAGCTTGGATTTATTTGGCATTTCTCTACAGTCACACAGCTTAAAATGATGCTTTTAGCCATCAACAGGATTCGGGGATGATTCTGTCGGTATATTTGACCACCGTCACCGATCTGAACATGTTGGCTCGTGGTCCGGGCCCTGAAGCGGAGGCGGAGCTCGGAGCAGCATGTTGTCCTGTCCTGCTGGAGAACCCAGCTGTGTTTCTTACCTGCACCGCTGTCAGCAGAACAGCTCCTACAGTCCGCACGGTGCTCTCAGGTTTAGGAACCTCAGCTTTACTCCTCAACATAAGCCTCTTGTCATCGGGGCCAAACAGCTCTTTGTCCTGTCCCACCGTCAAACTTCATTTTGAAGATTTATCCATACGGACACTGTGTGGTCGGCAACCTCTCCAACCACGGTGGTGGAAAACTCGCTTCACCACAGTCTTAATGGTTCCCAGGTTGATCCTGGACTTCCTAACTTCCTCTCCTCTGAGGGTGACGGCGAGGCTCCACTGAAGTTTGTCAAACAAATCCAAAGACAAGCTACCAGCTGTAGTCAATCATGATGACTACAACACATTAGCATGTCACTGTAGAGCCTCCTGCAGCACTTCCTGTGGGCGTATATACATAACTAAGCCTTCATGTAGACTCTTGGCTTTGTGAGGATTGGAGAAAATCCTAAATAAATTCAAACGTGTGCGTCCAGCTGTATGAAGTCAGTGAGAGAGCCACTCAGAGCTGTCAGCAGCTACGGTGCAGGAACCAGGGACAGTGTTTGACGAAGGTTTCTGCTGCTGTCCAAGCTCATGGAGCCATCTCTATCTCGGCCCCGTTAGACAACCAGCCTGCGTTTGTGCAGGTCTGACAAACTGTGGACAGCACTGTGCAAACATCTTAGGCAGGTGAGGAAAATGCTGTAAAGAAAGAGAGCTTTCAGAAATATGAATGACTGTTTAAGGAGCCCAAACACAGCCGAACTCATCAGGAACTCGTTACTGTAAAGAGGAACAAGCAGCACTGAAGTGACGCCCCCCTGATCTCAACATCATCGAGTGTGTCTGCGATCAGAGACCTGAGGACGCCCACATCCACAGAACATCTGTGCGTAGTTCTCCCAGATGTTTGCCAGCTGACTTCCTTCAAAAACTGTGTGGAAGTGGACGTAGAAGAAGGCGAAGGCGCCACCAAACTGATGTGATTTTGTTCACTGCGTCTTGTTGCCTGCTGAGAATAAACGATTAACACTCTCTGCGTGCAGCATTGTTCCTCACCTTTTGCTGCACGTTTGGCATCCTCAGTAATTATTTCTGCACAGGTACCTGCACCAGCGTTTGAGGCTTAACCAAAGCGTTCGTAGAGCTCGGCTGAAGAACATCAAGCACAGACCGTAAAGTCCTGCCAAAGCATCAAGCTTCCACAGACAAGTGCTGAAGCTGAAAATCACATACAGCCATCGTGCACTCAGCCTGAGGTGGCAGCTGTACTCTTTGACTCTGGGGTTTCCCTCTGCTCCCAATCTGTGTGCTAAATACATCACCCACTCAATAAAGTCACGCGTATGAACTGCTGAACTGTTCCTTCAAGTTGTTAAGAGAAAATACAAAGTTTGCTTCATATAAAACACAAACTCCACCACAAACAGCATCAATTAGGTGAAACTGTCCATAACTCCTGCAGGAAGGAATAAAACCTGCAATGGAAACCTTTAACATGTTACACAAAAGTCACTCTGGATCAGGGATGGGTGCCGGTGTCCGGTGCCATGATGGCAAAAGATGCAAACTCAGCAGCCTGCAACAAGTGCTTTAAGCTGATACTGTCGGACCCAGAGTTAGCAACATCCCCCAAAAACCTGAAGAGGAGAGTCCTGGCCCCTAGCCCTGCCAGTGTAGCAGAAATGATGAGGATGATGATGCAGCAGCAGCCGTTCTTCTCTGCGTGAGTAGCTTAATCTTGTTTGTGTGTAATTTACGTTGAGTAGGCTAACCACGTTATTACATTAATGCATGTAAGGTGAACTAGCAAACATCATCATAGCTACATGCGGCTGTCTTCTTGTTTGATGGCAGATACTCCCTTCACCCTGGACAAAAAGGCTAAAATGACCAAAGAAAAAGTGGAAAACAGCTGAACATGAGAGGTTTTTGGACAAAGTTTGTGTTTTTTCCATTGTTTAAGCACTGCTTCCAGCCAAGAGTGATACCATATATGCCCCATAGCTGCAGAAAAGGCTAACACTGTTATCTTTTTACAAAAAACAGTTAAACATGAGAGGTTTTGGACAAAGTTTGTGTTTTTTCCATTGTTTAAGCACTGCTTCCAGCCAAGAGTGATACCATATATGCCCCATAGCTGCAGAAAAGGCTAACATTGTTATCTTTTTACAAAAAAACAGTTAAACATGAGAGGTTTTTGGACAAAGTTTGTGTTTTTTCCATTGTTTAAGCACTGCTTCCAGACAAGAGTGATACCATATATGCCCCATAGCTGCAGAAAAGGCTAACACTGTTATCTTTTTACAAAAAACAGTTAAACATGAGAGGTTTTGGACAAAGTTTGTGTTTTTTCATTGTTTAAGCACTGCTAACCTAACCTAAACGATACCCATCCCTACTCTGGATTATTTGCTTTATGGGTGATTTTTAATAAGCAGAACAGAAGCTGAGGAAGGAGCCTCCTCATAAAGGGACAGAGAAAAGGTACAGAGGGTTTGGGGCACAAAAGGCATAGATGCATACGTGAGGCATGATGAGCTTTGCAAACATCCACTGTGATCAGCTGTCATTGTGTGTCTGCTCTAGTTCACTGTGGCTGCATGAATACGCCTTTGCTGCCGAGGGAGAGCGAGTCACATGACACGTCTACAGTAACGCAGAAAGGAAAGAGCTCACACTGACCTGGCATCAGCTTCACTGTAGTACTCCCTGGCAACGATGTCCTCGAACAGCTCGCCACCAGTGACTCTGGGAACGAACACAGCGAAACAAAAAGCAGAAACAAGCTGGTTTCACTTCATTTGCAGGGGGAATGTGTGGCTCCAGCACACGTACAGCACTGGTCCCATTCAGACTGGTTTGTTGAAGTTACTGCTGGTCACAGAGACGTCAGCTCTTTAAAGTGGCTACAGCTACATGTGTCTCACACGTTAGAGCAGAAACTCCATCCCTCTGTAGGGACTGGGCCCAGCTGGGAACACGAGGAGGAAAACCCTGATCCCAGCAGATGCAGCCAGGCAACAATATTACCGTTTCAGCTGGAGGGGAATTCCTTCCAGCTGAAAACATTTCCATGACTCAAGTCAGATAGATTTTCCAAGTAACACAGATCAAATCAAGTGGCACTAACAACTGAATCAGGTTGCAGCTGAGTCTGGAGATGTTCAAAGACGATGTTAAGCCAAGTAAATCAGCTAAATGCCCTTTAACAACTTGATGGTGCTGCAGCCATGCCCTCTCTCATCCAGGGTTTGTGGTTTAACCCACTGCGAGAGTCTCCCGGCATCCATACTGGCAATGATTCAATGAAGGGAAAAGAGGAGATGCTCGTGGCCAGGAAGGAGACACACCTCTGATCTTATTATTGCTCGTCGAGTTTAGAAAGCCATTTCCTTTCTGGCTGCCAGATATGACTGCAAACAACAGCTGATGACACCCAGCAGGGAGGAGGCAGTCACTGAGCAGCGTTGGAGGAAGGATCCTGACTCCTACGAAGGTTTTTTCTCTCCGTTTGGCGTCCGTCCACACTGAGACGCCGTTTCCGGTCAAGGAAAACTCAGCGTTTTCTCCAAAGCGGAAACATTAGAAAACGTCATCTTTGCGTCACAGCGTGGACATCGAACCCGGAGCCTTTTCGAAAAAGATGACGCACGTCAGTCATGTGGTGCAGTCATGTGACCAATTAACCAAAGATAGCAGAGGGCGTTACACAGCATTGTTCTGTTAAAGCTGCAGAGAGCTGTGCTTCACATCTTTAACTCTCACTCGCTTTTGTACTTTTGTGTTACTCGCAGCAGCAACTCCTCCTCATTGTGAGTCCATTTGAAAAACTCGCTGCTTTTCCTCGTCATTCTGCCGCCACGCTTCAAAGAGCCGGAGAGTAAACAAGCAGCAGACAGAAATGAGGCAGGCCGTCAGCGTTTACGGCCGTTTCAATGTGGACGCACAACTTTGGCGACAGTGGGAAGGAGAAACTCCCTTCTAACAGGAAGAGACCTCAGGGAGGGGCGGGGCCATCTGCTGTGATTGGTTGGGAGAATTCAAGATTGTTGCAGAATTAAAACGGACTTTCTGCACCTTTGATCACACACACACACACACACGCACACGCACGCACACACACGCACACACACACGCACACACACACACGTTCAATGGAGTATAAATAAAGACCAGGGCAGTTCTCTCACTGGAGTCTCTTAGAGTGGAGGCTGCCCTTGCTAGCAAGAACTCTGTGTGTTTCTCTTCTCTGAGTCTTTACTGAAGAAGTGTTTTAGAATATTTTCCCTAACACTCTGGAACAGATACCTGCCATCTGTGTGAGCCAGCAGTAATCTCAGCGTGTTTATATGTTTATATGGATGCAGGAGTATAGGATGTGCCTGAGCAGATGGAGTAAAGTAGGGCTGGGCGATATATCGAGTTTTTTAAAAATATCGATATATTTTCATACGAGATATAAGATGTGACCATATCCTTTATATCGATAAAGTCTATGTTACGTTATAATTATAGTTGTGGAGCCACAGGTTTGCCTCTCTTTCGTCCACTTTTGTCTCTACGCAACGTTACTCCGCCTCTCCTTCACTGAACACAACTCCCCCTCCTCCCCCATCGCTTCACCTGCAGGCAGCGACCAGATGGACACGGCAAATCTCCGTTAACGAGTTACTGTGTGGATCGCCCCGTGCGTGGGGCTGGACGGCGTCAACGTGTTAACGAGCTAACCACGCTAACGAGCTAACCACGCTAACGCCATGCAGCCCAGAGGTGGTGCACGGCCTAAAATCCTTTCATTTTCTCAAACGTTGACAGCGCGCCTTATGTATGTTCTGGTTGTGCTTGATGGCCGCGAACCGATCTTAGGTGGAACACGGCGCTCAGCAATCTGTCAAAAAATGTTTTACAACTTTGGTAAGCTACGGAGCTGCACCGCTTGATGGGTTGTCGGAGCATTACGGCTGAGCCTCGCGGAGTGATACGTACTGTGCTTCGACGTAATATTACCCTACTGTGTATAAGGACCATAAATGGCACCTGAAGTGGATTTCAAACTCCAGGCTCAGTCACGCAGTACAAGTTGGGAACAGAGCAGCTGTGAAATCTTTGTTATTGTGCTCAGCGTCTGTTAGTTTACATTTTGACTGCACAGTTGTGAGCTCTTTGTTATGCACAAAAACAACATTGTTTTCTTTTATTTATGGAGCATTATTTTTAATAAATGCTGATAATTTATTTTTGAGTAATTTCTTCATGTACATCTGTGCTGTATGTTAATAAAAGTGCCCGTGTGACATCTGGGACACAGTGTGACTAAGAACTCTCTGTTCGTTCTTACTTTATGGCTTTAAAAAATATCGAGATATATATCGTATATCGCCATCCAGCTAAAAGATATCGAGATATGAATTGTGGGTCATATCGCCCAGCCCTAGAGTAAAGCAACACGCTGCATTTATGCTCCCCAGATGCCTCGGCGGCGGTGCATGGGACAGCGGCGAGGTTACCCGTCTTGTGTGAGATGTGGGTGTGGTCTGCGCAGTCACACGTGTTTCGTGGTGCATTAGTGGAACATGTAACAATCAAAGGCAGCACTTACAAGTCAAAGACCAGATAGTGGAATCCTTCCTCTGATATGCTGTCGTGCAGCCGCACTGTGGGAGAAGGAGGGGAAAATTACGTTTTCATTGTTGCCCCGGCACCACGTGACCAGCAGCTGATGAGGACGGCGTTTTTCTACTTCAGATCTGCACGTGTGCAGAGATCTGCAGCAGCAATTTAAACACAGTTCATTTTACCTGTGGACCTGTGGAAACAGACTTTACAAGTAACTGCAGACGATTTATTCATTACTCTGAAAACACATCGAGAACTCTTCACGTCTAATTCTGCCTGATTGATGTTGGGCTTGAACTCGGCAAACAACAGGTCACATGCTGGTTTCATGCTCCACATGTAAGACACGTTTGCTGTGACCAATAATGGACTTTATCAAAGACTCCTCTAACAGCAGCGCTCACGAAAGCTCAGACAGTCCAACATACGAGTGGATGAAGAGACCAAAGGGAACGCTCTCGCTGTGGGGATCTTTGGCATTTCCATCAGCTCCTCTCATGGCCGACATCAGAGACCCGTCACTGCAATGAGCTTGCAGTGGAGCTGGATGCTGCTGGGACGATACTGGTAAGAGGCGTGCCAAGTGTACGGTTACCTGTTCAAACTTGATCTTAATCAGCTGCCTTTTGTTTGCTAAAGATCAAACAAATATGGACACATTGTAAATCTAACAGCACGATCTCTAAAATAACTGCTCATAGATAAATTAGTCTTTTTATTCCCGTTCATCTGTGTTCACATATATTTAGTGTCCAGACACGATTTAGACATCGTATAAATGACTAAGAGCTGAGCTCATGTTATTGACACAACAGAGCACATTACATAGATACAGCAGCATTCTTCTGTAACCTGTAAGTTCAGCCAGCACGTCTGTGCGACACTAAACCACGTTAAAGCAGAATGAAGTCAGCCTTGGTTTCGTGCTGTGAGCAGGGACACAAACCCCATCACTTTCACACTAAACCCTCCAATTTCACGTGTTGCTTAGTCCGATTCAGACAAGCTCACAATAGACCAGCAAACCAAATAACCCCCATCATCCCCTCATTTGTCACTTCCCCCGTCCCTTTCTTTTTTCACTAGAAGGACTGAAAAACAAATGACAGTTTCCACAAAGTCATTGCTGAGGTGATAATTGCAGTCTTTGTGGCTCAGAGGGAAAGTATCCTTGTGCTTGTGCTGCAATAAGGGACGGGTGAGTCTGCAGTGGGTAGTTTGGGGAATGAGGCAGTGGGGGTGTGCTCTTGCACTCGTTCTGAGGACTCAACAGAGCAAAGAAGCCAGGAGAGCTGTGGCAGCCCTAACCCTAAGATTAAGACTCAGCTCTTCTGATTTGACTGAAGTAATGAAGTTATTGAGGAGAGCTGCTGCACGGGCGAATATCCTGGCAGAGCCGCTATGTGACGTCACGGGCAGCCTTTAAAGGCTGACCTTTCATGTTCACTGTCGACAGAAATAAATAAAACTGTAATGTCCTCAGTGAAGCAGGAGCTCTAGTTACCGATGTTGGAGTGCTTCAGCAGGCGGCAGATCCTGGCCTCGCGCTCCAACTTCTGGTGATCTGAAAAACAAAGAGAGACCATATTTGTGTGAGCCTTTTTCAGACCGGCGTTTACACAAACAGCACCTCCCTCCTGGGAAACGAGGAAATGTGAGCTCTGGCACGTCAAACACAAGCGTGACGCAGCCGTTGGTGCAGAGCGTGTGCGGCGAGTCTATTATTCGCCTTTCACAGCACTAAACGAGGCGGACGTGCATCATCTGACAGAAACAGCTGGAAAAGAAGGTTATTACAGATGTTCTCAGGACCAGACAACTAACCACCACGCTCACACTTTTACCCTGTTCTTCATTCCAGTCGTCTTCTTGAAGGCTGTCAATCACAGCCATAATATTAGGCACAGAAGCTTCTCGTTGCCGTGGTCCATCCCAAAAGATCACCAGCCTGTCACAGGCTGCCACACGACTCAATGTTTTCACTGGGTCAGTCTGACAGCGCAACAGGAAGGAGCATCAACAAAGCTGCTTCCTGTTAGACACCAGAAGCCTTTTGTATAAGACAAGCTTCGTGTAAGCACGTTACCTGATTGCATTCGTGTCTTACCTTCAGACAACAGTTCTGA